CTGCCACTGTTAAAGGTGCATGCTACATATAAGAACATACAATGCATAACTTCATCTAGTCATTGCTGTTAATGAACATCTTCCACAGTCTCCCAGACAAGATTATCCTTACAGATAGCCCTGTCCTTCAAAACTCTGTAATCCAGAATCACTAAATTATTAACAGAAGCCATAGAATACACTGTAAGAAAAAATTAGCAGCATTAAAAGAGAACTGTGTATTTTTTGGTACAAGACAGCGTTTGCATTATCCTCTCCAAACTCAGGGACCTTCCCTTCTGACACCTCTCAATGTGCTTACAGTTTACATTACTAAAATTGTTGTCATCAGCATGAACTACCGCTTAAAGCTGTGCGGTTTCATTATGGTACCAGCAGAATGTTTCTAGATTTGATCTGAGTTTTGTTTTTTTTATAAATACAGATGTAACTTGATCTGTATAAGGAATCCTTCCTAAAATAAAAAAATAATAATAAGGCTATAGCAGATATGTGCTATAGCACATTTAAAATGTGTCCTGACTGAAATACACCTCCGTCCTCTGTCCCCACCCTTTTTCCGCACATTTTTACCCTGCAAAGCAAGATCCTGCTCTCATTTCTCTCAGTCCCACACCAGGACCCCAGTCTTTCCTGCCTGGGCCAAGCCCATTCCCTCTCCCAGAAAATATAATCACATTCCAGTTCAGCACATTCACACCTCCTGTCTCATCCCGCCTCAAGCCTGCTCCAGCCTTCCGAGATAGGAAGACAGACAGCAAAACTGGTTATGATCCTGCAGTGGAGGCTACGAGCAGACCAGGCTAGGGAGCCAGAACTGCTACCGGGTACCGCAGAAAATTACTGCTGACCACATGCATGAAGACACTTACCCTGCAGCTCAGGTGAACACCCACACAAAGGGAAAGGCAGGAGCTATCAAAAGTCGAGTACCACGCTGGCATGGTCCCAATACCCCCAATTTGGGAACCTGGCATAACAGCGTAGCTGCAGTGCTTTGAACTATTGCTGCAGAATGCTCTACTATTCCCTGCATGTGGGCACGTGTGCACATGTGCAGGGACAGTAACTCGGTGATTCCTGAACTACAATTATAATAAATCGTCTTCAATACGATAGCAGCTATTGACAAGCTTTCAAAAATTACTCCTGGATTTGACAGCAAATGCCCACGAAAATTGGCAGCAATTCGGTTTTTGGGTTTAAATGGAACACAGTTCTCCTTTCCAAAGCATCTGAAAGCCTTTGTTTAAATAACACAGTTTCAGTATTAGTCACACACTGAGGATTGTACTAGAATATTCTGTGCTATGACTTAAAATTCATATGTAGCTGGGTTTCTGGGGTGAATTAGAGCAACCCTAGAAGTTGCTGTAGTTCACAGAACCACTTTGCAAGTCCCCACATTCTCAGCTGAAGCTCAGAATAAGCAGTGTTACAAAAAAAAAAAAGTCATCACAGTCAAATATGCTTCTTATGCTAAGGCACCTAAACAAGCGACCCTCTGAAATGGCTTCCTGGTCCTTTCAGGCTCTGCACACGCTGCTGGAGCAGCACACCACTCTACTACCTCTGGCTCTCTGTATGACCCTTGGATTGCCAATAAACTTCACCAACACCATTTCCAGATCTAAAGTACGAAGTACACCACTTCATTACCTTGTGATAACAAAAAATACACCGTTGATGCTTTGCAGTAAACTGAAATGCATCAAAACTATTGTTCACATTTGTGAAGCTCCTTATTTGTCAGGTCTTTCTGCTACCAAAAGCGGCGGGCTCAAGCTGGGTAACCAGTGCCTTCTGTCTGGGTAGTGCAGTCCCACGGTCCCAGATAGCACGGCATCTTGCAATGGCAGAATGCATCCTGCCAGATAAACTTTTCTGAGGTGCTAGACAGCAAGTTTCCACTCAGTAAAACTTACATTTTGCTAAATTTCACCTCCATAAATAAAGGACGCTATTCTAACTCTCTTTTGGAGGCCAGAGCTGGGAAAATATCCAATGTAAACAGAAAATAAAGAGCTGTTATTTAGTATTCTGAATGAGGCTGGCTACTTGCCAGCTATAATATTAACATTAGAGATCATGAAGCTCCTGTAACCATCATCTTTATTTCCACCCAGGTATGTTTACTGGGCTCATTAATACATACGGTGTGGCAACCGTCTTCCTACGCAGCTGGAAATTGGAGCACATTAAGAGGGAAATTGGATAGTTCGACAGGAGTTGCAACCAAATGATTATCAATATGCTATAAAGTTTTATGAGCAAGTAATTTGTGTCTTCACCAAGAAAAAATCCCCCTAAAGCCTACTTCAGAGCAAACTGGGAAACTGCCAAAAGAGAGTCAGTTAAGTGATGTTTAAACTTGCAGGTTTTGGATGGAGATTACATATTAAAAAGGTAGAAGCAGGTTTTCTAACATATATTCTGCAAAGAGTTTTATGTTTTAGAAGAAGGTCACAGCAGCTCAGGAGCTTTAAATCCACTTTTGACGCAAATTCCTTTGGGAGGGGAACAAACTTTTTTTTTTTTTTTTCTTTTTACATTAATAAAGCAGCATGCTGGCACTGAAGTTTCCATGTTCACACACAAAATTCAGAGGAACAGTCCTACATTCCTTTACCAGAAGTTGCCCCCTACATTAGTAGGGGATATGCATAACTACACTGTAATTTTATGAGTGATGCAATAAACTGAAAGTTTTCCTGAAATTCGTTAAAATGACAGAAATGCATTCTGGTGAAGTAAACAAGTTGCATAGGAAAAATGCTTTACATTTCTCGCTACACTTGTCTCAAAACCCAATTTATTCTCAAACTGTTGCCAATTCTAACAAATTATGGTGACCTTGCAATGGAGACAGATATCCCTCTCAGGAACAGAGAGAGGGACAACCCAAAGCATGACCCACACCAGTGGAAGAAAAATCTTTCTGAGCTTCTGACACCGACGGCCTCCAGACTGGATTTGCCCACCTTATTTCTAACAGCTATTCTGAAAACTCAAGGTTTTCTTCAGAAAAAGATGTAACAAGTAGCTTGCTACTTATTAACCCAATTTCCTCCTTTTTCACCTCCTAAAATTGATACAGTTTATCATTTGCCTACGAACAATGAAGCTCCTAAAAAGGGAATCCTCACCACACTTTAAATTGTTACTATTGTATTTTAATTACAATGATATTATGTCAAGCAATTATACTGGTTACATTACAAAATATTACATAATCATTCCATGATTTTTTTCCAACAACTAAAATGTCTGCTTTTTTTAAATAGCTCTGACATCATCTTGTTTCCAATCATATTAAAAATATATGAATTTTAAAAAAATAAAGAGATGCTGGCTTAATTTACACATTCATTATTTCCCCCTTAATTTTGTCCCTTCCCTTTTGCACATAAAATTATCATCAAACCAGCAACTGGAGATTTAATATTTTAAACTTTAATTAGAGAACAAACATTACTGTAAGTAAGTAGAGAAAAAAGCACATTCATCGGAAACGAAACGGATGATTTGTAGACAGCAAAAGTATTTACTAAAGTAGTTTCTTTTTTGGCATCACAGAAATGCTGGAAGCCAGGAAGGAGTTTTGTTTTTTTTAAATAATTACTAAAAGGTTATTCACATCATGTAATTTGAAGGATTTTTATTACGACGCATAGCATTTGCACAAAGCAGACTGTGGCCCTCAGACCAAGGTGTTCTCCTCTTCTACACACACACTAAAACAAGAGGGAAACGTGGACATTAAATTTGCAAAACGGCTGCAAATGCAAACCTGCATCCGTCCTACTCTTGGATCCAAAAACCTGGAAGAGCCCACGCCAACTCGTGGCATCAAAACTCGCCGCTCGCTCCTGCTATGAGCTGTGTGCTTCCCACGCTCGCCGTCGCGTGCAGGAGATCCTCGCTGGTAAGCAGCCCAACAGAAGCAGGTCCGTGGCTGCACTGGGAGGTGGGGGAGGTGGCACGTCCCTGCACTGCGCAGACTCCCGCTCCCCAGCGGGATAATCTGCAGCCAATCTTATTCTGCCCCATGCTGCTTACTGTGCTTTCTTCAGATGGAAAAGGCGGGAATACCTGAGCAGCTACGAGAAGGTCGTGGCCAGGATCCAAGTTTAGGGAATGCAGAAAGCACCTTTGCAAAAGCTGCGTAATAGTTTGCAAAGCTATTTTGCAAAACTGATTTTTTTTTTTTTCTTTTTTTTGCAAAACTATTCCATAATCTGATGCAACACTGAAAGAAACAGGGTCTTAGGCCAGAAACCCAAATTTTGGCACAGAGGGAATAGATGATCTGCCCTCTCTCTCTGTACGTAAGCAGAAACGAAGAAAAATTTTGAAGCCCTTCTCCCCTCCACCTCCTCAGCACAGTGATAAGCATCTACCACCTAGAGAGCTGTAACTAACTATTAAGGTCTGATTAAGATGCTTTATAAAACATAATAAGCCATGAGATAGTATAAGCACATATGAAATATCTTATGAGCAACTAGTGATAATGGCTGAGGTGTTCATAACTGTCTATGTGATTTCAACACCTTCCAGTAAAACCAATACTATCCATGTCTCAAGCAATACTCCTTCCCAGAAACCCCTTTCCCTCCTCCAGATACAAAAGACTTGGGCATGATTCATTTTTGCACAACATTTTAAAATTGCTTAAACACCTTAGGACATGCAAGAAGGATGATAAATGTTTAATTCCATCACCGCTGCATTTATACAGCAATCTTGTACCTGGGTTTGGGTTTTGAAAGAGTTTGGATTTGGGTCACCCCACCAAAGATGACGAATACAATTCCTTATGAACTTCACTTGGGAAACTTTGTTCCAGTTGAAATTGCAATATCAGAAAGTCCAGGTACGTTATTACACATACATGATTATACTTCAAAACTCTATAGAATGAAGCAAGCATGTACAAAGTGACTGAAAGTGGAACTTGGAGAACAGTGCAAGAAAAAAAGCAAAGTAAGAAAACTTACAAGGACTGTAAACCGCTTAATCCTCTGATGGCCTCATTAGGTATAGTCTTCAGCTGATTGTTCTGTAGGGTTCTGTAAAAATCCACTGTGTTAGTAAAGCAGAATTTGACAGTAATCTTTATCAACAATAGAGATGACAGAAGAGCCCATGGTGCTGTTATGGTTTCACACATTTCTATTATACATAAAAGCATGTAGAATTATCAAGACCAGATACCCAAAGCCAACGATGAAATGAGAAAATGGTCGATTTAGTTTTATTTACAACTCATTAATTAACTGCATTGATTTGCAGACAACAAGCCTCTGACATAATAGGCTGAAATTCCCCTGGGAACTCACTGAAGAGGTTGAACAACTTAACGCTAGTACAATTTTGCTACAATGGATGACATTTTATTATTTTCTTGTGAAATCATCCTATGCATGCTACAAAATACATAAACCTCTAATTTTTCTTAAAGCCGCATCAATACACAATGCATTAACAATCTAATAAAAAAAGTGTGTTCACAACAAAGCACCTCTGGGCATAACATTAAAAAGACACAGAATGAAACTAGAGCCAAGCTGAATGAAGTTATACTGGTTTGTTTTTGTTTTGTTTTGTTTTTAAGAACTCCTCTTATGGGACGACATATTATTGCATGATGAGTTCTTTTATAAAGAGAATGTAAGTAACTGAGTTCTCACACATTATAAATTATTACTAGATTTTGGTACATACTGGGGCAAAATGCAAGTGAACAAGTAAGTTAACTGTTAACTAATATCCAAGTCCCAAATTTTTCAAGAACCACTAGAATTTCAGGCACCTCCAGTGTTGAGTATCCTGATGGAGATACCTTCAAGAGCCTTGACACACTTAATTCGATTTACAAAACATCATTAAGTAGTATTGCAGATGGGCAGTTTCCTAATCTGTACCCTGCTTATGCTGTTTGTTTATGCTTCTTTCTTTATAACCTCAGGGTCCTTTTCCACTAGGTTTTTAAAATATCTGTTTAATTAACTATCTATTACCCTACTAGCAATCGGAAATATTTACATCAGCATAAATGCTACAATTTCTGGGTACAGGTTTTTAAAACCCCAAACAACAGAAAGCTCTTTTTATCCTTAGCTATGGAAAAACAGTTGAAATGAATATTTTTATCTCAGAAAGAAAAACAGGATATGGGAAACAGGGCATACAATTCTAACTTTTTTTTATTAAAACTTTTTTCCTAGTAGTAAATCATTTTCACCTAAAGAGGCATCAAACTATGGAAATTATTTCTATCACTGGTAGGGGATGATTCAAAGGTCAAAGAGTATTTTAAGTCTCTGTAAGCACTAGTACTACCTGATCATGTCGGGGCACCTGATGGAGTGAGCTGAGGGGGTGGAGAACAACAAAAAGCTTTACATGTCCTTTTTAGAATTTTTCCTTCGCAGGATTCTTCTGCTACAAGATACACTTCAGAAGCAAGTGTTCTAATTAAATGAAGTAATTACAGTTTAGTCAAATTCACTGCTGCTCATCATCACCACTTACAGCAGGCTTTATTAAAAAAAAAATAATGAATGTAGGCGAGCTGTAATTTTGGGGGGGCCAGCAGAGAAAGGGGAAAAAAAATTAATCCAGCCTACCAGTAAACAGGCTGGCTGTGCACTAAGAAAGCATACTGCTAGCTATGAAGCTCTAAAACCCGATTACTTACAGAACTTTGAGTTCTTTCAACCCAGACAAGGCCTTCGGATGGATAAAAGAAAGGTCATTGCCAGCCAGTCGCCTGGAAAAAAATTGCAATAATAATTTCAGTCACAAAATTCAGTACAAAATACAACTATCTAACAAGGAAAATCACCAATACATCAAATCTTGCAAGCAGTTACGCATTTTTGCATCCGATTATGCCATATTCATGGTCTTCCAAGTTTGCATCAGTTATTTCAGTCATCGCGCATATTTTAACGACGAGAATGCATTACTCAGCCTCATGGATATACTTTTGCAAACATGCTAGAAAAAACACACCCCAGAACGATGAAGAATCTTCTTATGGTACTAGGTTTGAAAAGTTCATTTACCAACTATTAACATGATCCTCTGGCTTTCAGCATTGCTCTGCTGAAACACATGCTCTGGTACCCATGTGTTTTCAATCTATACAGCGATTTCTAAAGAAACTATGCAGTTAAGTAAAAATAGATAGATGCTAGTGTGAGGCAGGTAGAAGTTTCTATGCAAATCCCAAATGTGAAGATGATATTTGCAAGCAGGTGGTACACGTTCACGGTGGTGACACCTGACAGGATGCCCGCTGATATTACCAAGACGTAATCCTGCTAATCTTTCATGTTTTTGGTCAGCTATTTGGACAAACTTTTCAGAAAAGAAAACTGTTTTGGAGGAGGGAAAAAGGGAACAGGATTCTGAGCCGTACCCACTCTCTCTCAAGATGTGGCCGGTTTCAAACTTGGACTGCTAGATACTAACACCATGTGAAAACCACCATGATATTAAAAGTAATAAATACAGGAGACACTGCAGAAGACAAAGCAGGAAAGCAGAAACAGCCGCCAAAACAGCTGTTTTCAAATAGCTCATTTCCCCTTCCCCCGCTCCTTTTTTCTTCAACCTTTTTACCACTATCCTGACCAGCAGACCCTGTGTGGTCCAACCTTTGTTGAGCTGCTAATAGTTGTGACACAAGGTATTTTATTAAGGATAAAAGACAATAATGCAGAACACCTGGTAACCCATAGCTGCCAAAAGATGCCATCATTTCGGCAGAAGTATGTGCTTTCAGACTTGGTTTCATATCCAAGCTGAGCAAAAGCAACGTTGGAGAAGGTTGTACAATGAAATCATCTGGTGGAAATACTATGTACAATGCAGTAAGCCTTAATAATTAAAAAACACTCAATGTGCTTTAACAAAGGTTACAGACTATCAAAACCCACCTCTGCTGTTACAGGGCACTGTGAAGCAAGCCAGACACACTAAGGGGAAAATACTATCTCAAAGAGGTAAATGAAGGAAGTAACGAGAGCATCATCTAAAGTATCAGCTTGCCAGAACATATCAACATTATTACGTTTTTATCTTAGTCTCTATTTCTAACTACATAAAAGAGATTACCCAAAACATTTGATACCTACATAAATCTGCTTGCAACAGAATTAATGACTTAATAAAATGCTGCCTGATAGAGGGGATGCTAGTTATGTTTATCAAATCCATTTGTCAAAGGTAGATGGTTTTATTTATAAACCAAGGGAGAAGAGGACAGCTTCTCATGAACACAAAGGTGACAGCAGCAGCAGATACTACTCGGTTTTAGAAAACTGTGTTACTATCATTTGTGAAAGTAGACCTTGGTATTTAGTCCCTGTGTTCTCACACACACCCCAATTGCCATAGCTATGGCTCTGACATCATTACAAGCATGCTTAAATCTCAACTTCTTCCATCTTAAACAAAAAAAAAAAAAGACATCTCCTGACTGCTGAGAAAAGTTTGTCTGCATGGCTTGTGTATAACCAAACATCTTTGAAACCAGAAGAAAAATAAAAAGAATCAATGTATACTTATTCTTGAAATCTCCTGCCTGCAAACAACCTCAGGACTTCGGAGCTGTGACATGGTTTTTCAAATACTTTCAATTTTTAACATGAATGAAAAATTCCAGATGGCAACTCAACACTCCCTTAAAATTCATTTTGTTGTCAGTAGCTGCCCGAATCAACTGCATTAACTTTATCTGGGGGGACATGGAGGGAGGTTTGCAATATTTCATGGCTTTCTTTTGAACAATTTCATAAGAAGTTCACTGTAAACAGAAAGAAATATTGATTAAACATGCTGGGTCTCTACAACAGAGGACCAGTGATCTGCAAAACACATGTTTATTTTAAAAAGTGTTCAAAACATCAAAATAGAAATCCTTAAATCAAGCAAAATTTAACTGAGACTATAGCATGGAATTATTTTGGCACTCAAACACTACTAGTTGATGTTGATTACCTACCACACGCTTCAAGAAGAGGCAGCCCTGCTAAATGTGCGTCAGGCAGCTCTGGCTGCAGCTCTGCCAAGGTTCCCTGTTAAACGGGCTGGTGTGCAGCTTGTCAGGCATCTGCTGTAACTTCTCCCTCCCCCCGAAGAGGCTGGGGATTATGATTTGTTTTAAAAAAGCTAAACTAAATCCAGTTGAATAGCCTCCCCCAGTCTCACTGAGTGTCACTAACACAACCTACAGAGCACTAGAAACAAAATACAGCTGAGCCAGAGCAAGGCTTGCGTGACTTCAAATAGCAAGACTTCGCCTGCCTCAAGGCAACTCCTGTTTATTCAGCCTTTTTGCAACCAACAGAAAAAAAACAACCTGCAATCCATTACATTTCCGTTTCTCCTCCATCTGGCAACCTTCCAGGAAACAGGATACAACTAGCCAAGTGTGCAAAGGCTTTACTAATCAGTTTGCCAAATATACATTTATCATTCACGTCCTAGCCTTGGGGAGCATGGCTGCTCCTTAGGAGGTTTCAACTGCAGCTCTCCAGCAGGCAAAGACCAACATATCATACGCTGCTCTCAACATGCTTCCCTCTGCTGCAGCATGCAGCAGCTGGGAGGATGGAAAGATTTCTCTTTACATAAGCAGGTTCATTTTAAAGAGAGAAACGAAAAATTAATAGCATGTAATATAGCACACATACAGCATATAAATGAAGACGTCACTGAAATAGTCCAGTCAGGTTTTCCACGTTACCTCCTTTCAGCATGTCTTAAAAATCATCACATTCAGATTTTCAAATATAATGTTTAAAACAATTAAATATTTAAAAAGCACCTCTGTTTCCCTCTTTCTGTTTCTCGCACACACACAGTAAATGGGCTAAGGAAAATCACAGCTTTACCAAGCCCCAAACTCCAGCACAACAGAAAGGAAGGAAGCTTCATCTCCTTGCAACAAGACTCACTAACCTGCTTGGGACCGGCCCATGGTGGGACAACTCCACACTGCTATGAAGCTACCTGAAGGCAGTCCTACATTTACACTATCGAGAGCCGAGTACCCATCCGTCCCTTCATTTTGAGTGGAAAGAGTCTCAGAGACCTGGTCTGAAAGTCCATCTATAGTTACTGAGTCAAGGCACATCACCGTTGGTTAGAGCTCTTTTTCCAAAAGGCAGAGCACTGTAAAACAGATTCATCCACAAAGACAGTAAAGACTTAATTGAACAGACGATTGTAAAGTGCCCTGATATGCTATAGGTCACAAAAACTTAATTTGCTGTCTTTTACTTCTCAAGATACGCAGACACAGCAGCAGGCATCATCTGAAGTGGGGTGTAAATGTGTATCACACTGACCAAAAGCTTTCCTGCTAACTCGATTGCGACTCCCCTTGTTTGGAGACAGCAGAGTTACACCTTGGAGGCTTCTACAGTGGAATCACAGTTGTAATGTGTGACCACATTAGTATCTTTCTTCTAGGTTGGCAATCCCCTGTAATTGCTTGGTATTGAAAACTGTAGTCCTCTATTTTTACTTTAAAAAAATAAAAATAAAAATTGAGTGTTTCAAGGGGACAAAATTTCTGCAAATTTGGACAAATTCAAAGAGACAAAAACCAATTTCAGCATAGCAGGATAACAGAGTAGGACACATGGAGGACAAAATACTTCTGCTATCCTGTCATATATAGGTGAGCAATACCCTCTAACCATTATTTTAAGTGGCACAGTAAATGATCTCCAGATGTAGAGGACACGTTGTCGTTATTACAGAAATCAGGATACAATCTGGCTGGGGAATGATCTTCCACGGTATCTCATTCCCAGAATACACAGCAAGCATAGTTGCTTGCACTGAAACTCCTCTGAAAGCAGCAAAGACTGTTTTCTCTCTTTTGGGAAATTAAAACTTCTACAGTTATGGGTCTGGCAACCCGGCTGCATGTTAACTGAGCCAAGTTAATCACTGGTGTCACTCCAAAATCAGGGAGGATGTCCCAGGGATACATTTTTGTCCCTAACAATTAAAACCATCACTCTCATTTTGACAGGATGCAATACAAACTTCTTGGAAACCTCTCTGCTTGCCTTGCATCCCAGATGGTGGTGAACCTCAGGTTACTTAAGCAAAGAATTAGGTCTCCTTCTGTCCTTCTGAAGATCCTGGGCACATACACAAAGTGTTTTTGCTGTGTTTTTTTCTTTCCTTTGGCGGTATTCTGGGATCCTCCTAACCTTATCTGTCCATCTTGTCTCTGATAACAATACATTGGCTACTTTTTCCATGGATCAACTGTAATCTTACTTCCTCACTGAAAATTCAAATACTGACACAGACTGCAATCCTGACGTCATAATAAATCACCTGATATATTAGTTTTATTTCTACATTAGCTGCTTTCTGGTAAGACCCAAGACCTAGTCAAGTCTGAACATTCCACAGTCGCCTTCAGACCATCCACCACTGGCTGTCTACCCACGCAACACCTCCTTTCAGCTCTCCCAACTTTTACCTACCTATTTTCATCCCATTGGAAAATATTCCATTGCTTCCCCACTTGCATTTTAGCAATTTCTTTACTTTTTTGCTGTCTTGCATCAAACTATTCTGCCATCCTTAACATGCCTGTCCCTAACATCAACTTTTTCAGGGTTCTTTGTGCTTCCCACACAAACTTGAATTTTACTTCATGTTCTCCTGCAACAGAAGTAACCTTTGAAAATGACTTATAGACACACCTGCTGGGTATCATAGATTAAATTTTCT